GGGGCTCCCACTGACCAAAGTGGGGCAATTTAAGCATCAAACTAAATATTAGTAAAAACTGATAATAATTCGTAGAGTAGTCCATACTGACATATCTATGAATGAATGAATAAAAAGAGGAGAAGGGAAAGTCTACCTTACTGTAGAATGCCAATTATAAATATAGAAAGAATGATAAATGAGAAAGTCACTATTTGGGAACATCATAGGAATAACGAATTTAGACAAGAATCATCAAAGAATGTTAAAACTAGTTGATCCAAGTTTTATGAAGAAAAGGATATTTAAATAAATCTCAAAGTAGCTCACTCAGAGGTACTTTGGAAGATAGCCTGGTGATTGGCTTTCTAAAGGTCACAGCCTTGAAAACCCTACGGAGCAGTTCTACTTGGCACACATGGGGTTGCCATGACTCAACTCGATGGCAACTCACAACAGCAACAAAGTAGCTCACTACAAAATACTTATACTTACGAACTTTGCTACGAAAAACCTGGCAGACACCACTTTAACCAAGTGGTAAAAGTTAACATCCCTTGGCTATCACCAAAACATGGACAAAAATAAGTGTTGTCAAAGACACGGAGAAACTGAAACTCTCATACACTGCTGGTGGGAATGTAAAATGGTACAGCCACATTGGAAAAACAGTTTGGTAGCTCCACAAATTGTTAAACATAGAGTTATCATATGATCCAGCAATTCCACTCTAAGAGAACTAAAAACATGTTCATATAAAAGCTTATACATGAATGTTCATAGCAGCATTATCCATAATAGCTAAAAGGTAGAACCAACCCAACTGTCTATCAGCTGATGAACAGATAAACAATATGTGGTATATCCATACAATGGAATATTACTTGGTAATATAAAAAATGAAATACTGAATACATGGATGAAACTCAGAACCATTATGCTAAATGAAATAAGCCAGACACAAAAGGCTACATATAATATGATTCCATTTATATGAAATGGCCAGAAGAGGTAAATCTATAAAATAGATTAGTGGTTGCTAGGGGCTGGAAGGAGGGGGGAACAGAGAATGACTGCTAAAGGGTATAGGGTTTCTTTCTGGGGTAATGAAAACATGCTGGAATTAAACAGTAGTGATGGTTGTACAACCTTGTGAACACACTAAAAACCACTGAATTGTACACTTTAAAAGGAGGAATTCTACTGTATGAAAAGTATATCTTAAAAAAAAAACAGTTAAATCACCAATAATGGGACAAATTGACATTATGCACCTCCCAATATGATGCACTTTGGACCCAGAATCACTTCTGCGGTATTCCTGCCAAAATGCATAACCTGAATCTAATCATGAGAAACATCAGACACACCCAAACTAAGGGTCCTACATATTGGTCTACACTCTTCAAAAATGTCAAGGTCATGAAGAACAAAGGAAAACTGAGAAACTGCTCCAAACAGACGGCAACTAAATGCAAACGTGTGATTCTGGATTAGATCCTGGACCACAAAAGAAAGAGTGATTACAATAGCAAAACGATGGAAACAACCTAGATGCCCATCAACAGATGAATGGATAAACAAACTATGGTACATACACACAATGGAGTACTATGCAAC